AAAATATATTATTTATAATGTGACCAAAAAAAACTTGAATAGGCGTTAGGACGTGACGCCTATTGCTAGGTAGTTGCTCTGAGAAGGCAACTTACGATCGAAAAGTATGAAAAGAGAATTTAATAGTCCTGTCCCAAACCAAATAATTAGGAACAGCTTGATTTACATCTTACATGAAAATTTCATTATGATAATTATGGGGAATACCCTATTATTGTAGGAATTAAACACCGCTTAGATACGGCCATGAATAAGTGTTAAAAATAGAAGTATTTATTACCCACTAAATATTCAGTGCCTTAGAGTGGCTACTATTTTTTTTAATAACTTATTTTTTTCAATATTTGTATTTGTTGGTAATTTATACAAATACATTTTTTATAAGCTAGCATAGATTCTTACATACATAATAGCTTTGAAGTAACTAAAGCCTTATCTACAAGTTAGTGTATAAAGTTTAGTACATATAACATTTTGCACTTCAAACATTAAAAAGTTTTGATTTTAGGCAACTTCATCGTGCAGATCATCATCTAACTTATGGGACATGGTCTGGGGCGGCAGGCTGTAACAGGTGAGCTATACAGGAAATTTCAAGACTCGAAAAATCCTGAAAGCTCGTATTTACCCATGCTTGGAGCCTATGCACAGCATTTTTTTAAACGCGCCGTCCGCGTCGTCGACGTGTGTTTGCAGCAATACACACGCAAGGCTAACCTTTACGCAAGGTTGCACGGGTGTCTATCAGAATACAGGTTTTTGATATCGATTTTCATTTTACCGAAAACTATTCCACAATCTTTTTTATATATTTTTGCAATTCATCGAATTTTTAATCATCGCCGTCATATCATCGAAAAATGTTTCTTAAATATCTTTTAAAGTTGTTTTGATTACCAAAAAAAAAAACAGTATTAAGTTATCGATAAAACTATTCGTAAAAACATGTTACAATATGTATCGAAACCCATAATAATTTTTCACATAACAACTTTTTATCGCAGTAACGTTTCATCGAATGATGTATTGACCGGTTGACGATAAATTACGCTACGCCGGCGCCGGCCAGCCTCAGCCGCGACGGCGCCAACGGTCGTCAAAACCACCTGGGGCCCAATTCTCGCGGCGTAGATATTATATCGGCTTCGAGATAATATCGAAAGTAGGAATATCTATTGAAAATATCTACTGATGGTAAAAAATGCTATTCTCGTGGATTTTCGATATTCCAATGATATTATATCTATCGTAGATATTCTGTCACTGACGAATGCTTTCCGTTTTTCTCGATTAAGTTAACATCATAGTCTATATAAAATAATAATAAATTAGAGCAGAATTTTACAAGCAACAAAATGATATTTTATGAATTCCATTCATATTAAATATGAGTATACATTTTTTGAGTATAAGAAATCTCAACTTTACCTAAATTGTATGCGTGTATAATTTCAACGTTATGTATAATGAAACGTCAATATTATTTAAGATTCTCCCTTTTTAGGGAAGGCAAAGGGAACAATGTCCATAGAGCCCAGTCATTAGTTATATTAATCTTCTTTTTTTACATTAGAATGTCGGTGTGACGCATTCTAATGTTTCTTGGAGTGTTTGGCACGAAATTTATGGAGTTGGCTTTTTCTCTAAGCTTCTGTGAGGTAGTCAACACTACAATAAAATTCTCGCGTCCACTTGACCGGAATAGCGTAGATATTAAAGATTCCACTAATTCTTCAGTTGCGCAGACGGTTGTAACACCAAATCACAACAACTTTATTTCACAATATCCACTATGAACGAATTTTAGAATAATTAAAATAAGACGCCAACCGCACTCGCAGAAATCCCGCCAAAAACTCCGTATCGTCAATAAGAAAATGGTGTCGATTCTGGCATGATTCTCTAAACCTAAACGTAAATTTGACAACAGTGTATCCTTGTCATTCTCCATACAGAATGAAAAGGTGAGACTGATGTTAAATTTAGTTTTAAGTTTAGAGAATCGTGTCAGAATCGATACCAATGTCATTCATAACTTTATAGATTTCTAACCAAATTTTTGTTTAAACGTAATTTTTTTATGAAGTAGGCGTCCCTCATTTCAAATGGGCCCTCTTGCTCTCACAACGGCGGCGCCTTAGCACAGCAGCAGCAATCACGTCATTTACTAAATCATTGACGAAAACCTGAATCAACTCATCCATCGTTAATATAAACTGGTGTCGATTCTGGCACGATTCTCTAAATCTAAAGTTAAACTTGACAACAGTGTTTCCTTGTCAGTCTCTATACAGAATGAAAAAGAGAGACTGATATTAAATTTAGGATTAAGTTTAGAGAAGCTGAACTCACAAACCGTGCATGCCATAAAAAAAAGAAAAAGAAGAAGTTTAGAGAATCACGCCAGAATCGGCACCATTGTTTACCTACTTCTTTATTTCCTAATTATTTATGAAGGCAGTTAACAACATCTTGAGGTAACAATAATTGGCAATGACACACGACAACACAACAAATAATAGGTAAAAAAAGTGGAAATAACAAGATTGACATGCCAAGATCTATAGATATTTATATATCGAAGGCTCTTTACCAGTCGATGTATGTCTACTGATCATCCGTAGATAAATATCTATTGCGACATGGTGAGAATAGGGCAAAAAGGTTTTCCTTCGATAAAAGCCAGATCATTCGATATATATCGAAGGTGATATAATATCTATGCCGCGAGAATTGGGCCCCTGCTCCTCAGCTCGCGGGCCGCCTCGCGATAAAACTGTACTTCCAGGGCCCAAGAGGTGATACTTGATTTCTTTTTATTGTAAAGGGCTCTTTAAAAATATTTTTTTTTATGAAGCTTCGCAGGCTGCTGCCGCAGCATGCTCGCTTCGCTCGCTCAGCTCGCGCGGTATGGTCACAACACTAACCTAATCTAATCTAGTGTGAATAAGTATCACCACTTGGGCCCTGGAAGTACAGTTTAGCCCGCCGCGCCCCTCCGCACCTACGCACTTTTAAATTGCACTCTAGGGGTCGGTCTAGTCGGGGTAAACTGAGTCTTTTTACATACCTTTTTTTACTCTAAAAAGACATCATGAAATCGTATTTTCGATGTACATTGATTTTTTGAAGTAAAAATTGATGTTTCCGTTATTTTGCAAACTGAAACTTACGATGAAACAAAAATATGGGTAGCAAAACTTCGATGTAACATTATTTCAATAAAATGTATAAAACATGAAAAGAAATAACGATGAACTGTGTTTATTGATAATAAATATTCGAGGAAACGAAAATGCGAATTCTAGGGTTTGTTAAATATATTAAAAATCGTTGAAAGGAATTGCGATAAAATGATAGATTCCTCCTTTGCACACCTTTATAAATTCAAACACAGACGCGCGTATAAAGCGATACAGGCGCGATGCCATTTTTATCGATACAAACTACAACAAAGCGGCCTTAGCACGAGTTTTTGACAGCTCCGTAAAGTATTAATTTGTATAGAAAAAACTAGTTTCTCCATACATCCGATACGGGCTGCTTAGTTTTCATAGAAACTTTGGCGATTACGATACTTTACGGAGCTGTCAAAACTCGTGTTTGGGCCCTTGCTCTGTAGGATAAAAGTGCGCCGCGGCGTGGTTGCGTGCGTTTAAACAACGTGGTGTATTTCGATACAGACGCACTGGTGTCGCACGTTTGAATAGATACAAACGCGCGTATGTAACGATACAAACAAGAAAAAAACGAGTGTGAGTGTGGTCATAACCACACGACTGTAGTGAAATTTCTTTAGCTCCATCTGTATGTATATACCTAGTCAGGTCATAAATTCTGTCACATGTTTAATATAAAATAATTGAAATAAGTTTATTCATTATGTAACCATTTATATACCAAAATGAACTTAACAAAACATAGATTCTTATGTGACAGTACGTTTTTCTTTATTTCCAGTCTATGTCCAACTATCCGTATTTTCGATTATCCGAATTGACCCCGGTCCCAATGACCTCTCGGATAATCGGCATTCTACTGTACCGATAAAAGTCCAGAGAGAAAAATTGTCTTAGTGGGTAAGATCAGTATAATAAACGCACACCCCCTTTATTACATAACAGAAGATCGCCGTCTACAACATAGCTAATAGAATTAAATTAAAATAGCGTATTAACTGTCACTTGAGTTTAAAATATTCAAAAACGACCGTAAATCTTTGGCTTAACGTTCAACCGAACATTTAATGAATTCAATATAATGATCTGTGAAGAATAAATATCTCGTAATTTTAATTTATGGGCCTATTTAAAAATAATTATTTATTCAAGTCAACATAAAAGGAAGACCTCTCTAATATACATTATGAATTTAATGTGATACCGTATTTATTTATTTAGGATTAAACATTATTATTTAAACATTTCACCAGTACTACAAGAACCTGTATTGGTTTTACCATGCACTGGGATTCGTAATTATGTAGGTACATGGTAGATAAAGTATGATGATGATATTTACCAATTACATATTAATAGTACACGATCAGCTAACGAAACCCGAACTGATAAAATAAAGAAACTAGGAAAAGTATGTTTATATTTGTGTCTTAGCGAATAAGTTCATTGCGAATTGAATTGCGATTGAGTAATTTACTTCTATTCCTCCTAATATTAAAAATGTAAAAGTTTGTGTGTTTATCATTACTTCATCACGCAAAAACTGCTGAACGGATTTAGATGATATTTGGCACACATATAGTTTATTACCTCCATTAAGACATAGGATACTTTTATCCCAAAAAAATTGAAGTCCCTGGGGGATTCTCAAAAAACTTAAGTTAACGTGGACGAAGTCGCGGGCGGCTTCTTGTATCAAATAATTGCGAAACATAACAGCCGCTATGCCTTGCTTTCCATCAAACAAGCAATAATTTCTCAATTTCCTATAATAAATCATACATAACTAAGATTATGATATTTTTGGGTGCTTTTACATACCAGCGATGGATAATGCTCCATTGTAAACTCCTATTACCAAAGGCAGTCCACTAGCGCCCCCTTGCTCCATGAAGAAATTGTTGAAAAGAATACCAAACGCATTCGATGAACCGAATCCTAACATCTGGAAGAATATAACAATTAGTTAGAATGATGACTTAAATACAACATCAGCGTTGCGACGGAATTTTTCAATTATTTTTATTATGATCATCATTAGCCTATTAATGTCCCCTAGCAATGGGGTGTCCCCATAGGCTTGCCTCTAGATGGAATAGCAATAGGGCCGTACCGTGATCAACCAAGTGAGCCCAGTGCGGATTGATGGGTGCTAACGACAGCCGGGACGAACAGCTTGAAATGCCTTCCGATACACGGAGGAGCTCGAGATGATAAGCTTTTGGTCACCAATCCAATGACCGACCTGTGCGAAAGTTGCTTAACTTCTACGACCGGAGGTCAAGCGCACTAACCACTTGCGCCATCGAGCTCCTCATATACACAATCAGGTCATAAGTATTGTTACACAGTAAAAACTTTTCTTTTAGAATGCTGGCCACAAAAAGTTTATTGAATTCGAATTGATCATGAAAATAAAAATTTATTCTTTTTAGAATTTTACGCATTTTTAAATATGGAGTGGATGCTTAAAGTAGACCGTGTTACAGTTATTGCGTTGCATCGTTGTGGTTACGCGCCAATTACAATGATTGACATACTGAAAAATTTAACCAAAAGTTTCGTTTAAAAAGAAACGTAAGCAGAAACTGTTGGCCCTTCAGATGGGGTTAAGCAGAACCACGGTGAAAAGGGTGTTAAATGAAGACTTAGGGCTCCGGGCATATCGAAGAAAAACAGGACATCGTTTGAATGCTCGTCTAATGGACCTGAGACTGAAGTGATGCCGCGCTAACTGTAGAAACGAATATTATTGACGGACACTCCTGAGAACTTCTATAAACCATATACACTGAATGATTTTGAGGTTTTGTTTGCAAATAGGCACATAGGTATTAAAATAATAAAAAACAAATAAGTTATATAGTTAACCAAAGAAAGCTAAGAGATTTAGATTATACAGCCATATCTTCAGTAGATTCATTATTTTTCTTATATTTATGTGATAACCATATTTTCGATTTTTAGTGTATCACACCTTATAATGTGCTTATTGAGGTGTTTGGCGAAAAATGTATGCAATAGACTTAATAATGTCGCCTTCCATCTATAATAATTGTCTTAGCACTTTTGCATGTAGTGAAAATGATAGTATAGTTGTTTATATTAATACCACAGTGTAATAAAAAAAAATATCGATCTTTACAAAATGGATTTGTTTTGATGTTATATAAACAACTTTGATCAGTCTTTGGCTGAATGTTACTACACCCACAGCCATTAAAAATGATTTGTATGTTTTACAAACCGGTACAATTAAAAGTCCTTTTTAAAATGAATACACAGTCAGGTCATAAGTATTGTCACATAGTAAAAACTTTTCTTTTAGAATGCTGGCCACAAAAAAGCTTATTGAATTCGTATAAAAATATTTGTATACAATTTCGAATCTAGGAAACAATTTTTCATGGTTATTGGTCTTTAGGCCAAACATGTATGGAAGCTGAGGAATCTCCTTTGTACTGCTAGTCGATTGATTTGTTAAAGAAGATTGAAATTCTATAAAATTATATTTATTTTCTTTTTAAAAGTGATTACACAGAAATAATATGTTAATAATTCTAATTACATATGAAATGTTACACCATCCTTTTTTAAGTTTGATGTTGCAAATCCGTTTTGCAAATTACTGAACAATTAGTGAAATATCCCAGCTCAACTAGTTTTGTATTTGAGCTGGCCCAACAGGGGGAAATATCGACTGAGAGGAACGCCCTGAATACCTCTCCCCTCCTGGACGCATCGGCCGCGTTTCTCTATGCATTTTCCCCTAACCAATTATATATATTATTTACATATTTTAAGCCATATAGGTAACTATATAATAAATTAAAGACTACTATACCAAAAAAGTAATTAAAAAGTCGAAAACGACTTCCGGAAGCTGAACGAAACTTAAAAAGTTGTGCAGAAAGGTAATACTTTTTAGCAGTCGTGTTTTTTTATTACTAATTTTCATTAATTATGCATTCAGCCGCTAGATAAAGTATCTCATTTGACATTATTATGCAGTGTTTTCACTAAATGCTTAGAACTGTTAGTAAGAAGCAAGAATGGAAATATCAGGAGCTCTACTCTCTTTCTCCGAAACGAAATTTCGTTAACGATCAAATTTTAAACATATTTTCGCCAGTCCATTTTATATTCGAATAGGCATATAAAGTTCGGAATCACAAACAATTTTCGTGAACGAATCGAATGAGTCATATCTGTTATTTCTTTGTATGTTTAATTTTTGAATGACGTTTTTGACTTGGAAACAATATTACTTCATGATAACATTTTTGAAGACATTGAAAGAACTTTTTTTGACAGTGTTAGCTGACTAATTTGTAGAGTTGATACAATCGATTGTATGTCAACCTAAATTTGTCGTTTAATACTTTGAAGTATTAGAAATACATTAAAAAAGCGAGGTGTCATATTAACTGTGCTTAAAAAATTTAAACCGATAGAGCGAAAACAATGGGAATCACCCGAAGAACAGTTGTAACTTTCCTTAAAATGTGAACGTGGACTGGATCTATATATCTGTGTGGTTTACATTCCCCCACTACTTAAAATCGATTATGTTGAAAATATTTTAAACAATATTACTCATAAAATACATGACAACATTCCTACAAATTCTTCTATATTAGTGTTGGGAATCACCTATTTATCATTGGATCCTTATTAAGGAACCGGTACAGATTCTTTACGGTGGAAAAACTGGTGAGTTTTTTACAAACGTTGCGCTAAACAACCGAGTCAATCTTTAACTCAAATATTTAATTTCTCCTTGCAGTCTGGAATTTATCCTGCTTACTGGAAGGTTGCATATATCACACCGATTCACAAAGACGGTGATATAAACGATGTTAGCAATTACAGGCCCATTACGATTTTGTCCACACCCGGTAAAATTCTTGAATCGTTTGTTCAAAAACATTTTTACAACAATGTTAAAGGCCTTCTTAGTTCGGAGCAGCATGGTTTTTTGCCTCGTAAGTCAGCTACTTCTAATCTGTTATCGTATGTTAACTGCCTATGTAATATTCTTGACAATAGAGGCGAAGTTCATGCCGTGAACCCAGATTTTATAAAGGCTTTTGACCTTGTGAATCATGACCACTTACTTCAAAAGCTAGAATACATATGTGTGCACGGATCACTTTTTTTTATCGATAGGTCCGTCAAATGACTCCACCCCACCTGACGTTAAGTGACGGTGAAGTCCAGACGCGAAAATAGCTGATACAGCAGTTCTACCTGCCAGCCATCCTCACCCTGCCGGCCTGCAGGTTGCTTCTTCACGCCTATTTTAAAATATCCCAGGTTGTAAGAGGGCGAGAACACGTGAGCGGGCAGAGCATTCTGTATACGGATAGTGCGATAAAGAAAAGAGTCACCAAACTTCTTTGTTCGCGTCAGAATAGTGGCCACAGTTAGTCGGTGGCAACGAAGATCAGCGCGTTTATTCCTTTGAAGGAAAGGGGAATGTGGAATTAGAGAGAATAACCTCTCAGAACACTCGCCGTAGTACAGACGATAGAATGCGCTTAATGACGCCACGTCACGGCGTAACGAGGACTCCTGAGATGGTGCGAGTTAGGACTCGCAGAAACAGGACTAGAAAAAAAAGCTAGCTCTAAATTTATATCCGTGTATAGCAACCAACTGAGAACTCAGGCCTACCTGAGGAATGGATCTCAGTTGGTTGCTATACACGGATATAAAGGACAGTGGGCAAAACGCACCCAGCTCCGCCAACCATGTAATTAGTATGAATCGATAGATCTATGATAAACTAGCCTTTTTTATTATGATACCGATAATAAATATCCTGGGAGTCAAAAGATATGACACCGTAAAAAATATCCTGGTAGTCAATAGATATGACACATGGGCATATTTAAGTAACTGAATAAATTCATTTTATAGTACCTACCTTCATTTTATATTATTAGTAATCGTAATAATATGCCATATCGTACTATTAGGGACACGAAAAAAATATCGATACTTTGTGGTATCGAGTACTTTTCCTTTCGATACCGATACTTTTGTACTCGATACTTTGTATTCGATACTTTTACTAAATGAGTACTTTTTGGCAAGTATCGATACCTTTAAAAATTTGGATAAGCGCCTCATATTGATGGCAACGCCATCTTGTTAAATCATAGCAAACATTCTAAAACGTTCCATAGGGTATATGACAAGTTTTAGGCAACGATCTCACGTTATTGACTAAAGTTTATGGAGTCCGTAAAAAGTGGATATTCATCATTCTGTCGTGTATTCAGTAAAAATAACCAAATCAAAAACTCCATTTTCAAGTTGCCGCGAAAACGTTTCTATGGACAATATGGCGTCTTATTAGTGTGTGACGTCACACGACTGTTATTAAAACGTCAAGCGATACAATGTAATGTCACTTTGACCGGAAGTTTACTTGCGTGTGACGTTATTTTAGGCTCCGCCAATCCCAAGCGTTTTGGGTTACGTGACAATAGATAAGAAAGCTAATATCTTTTTCGTTATTTTGCACCTTATTTTTAATACTGTCAAATGCCCTATTGCGTTGTTATAAAGTCAGTAACTGACATATTCAAGTGTAACACTATTATTCTGTCTGTGCTGTGTATACCTATTTGAAACCACCTGAAAAAAGACGGACGTAACCTCTCTATAATTGTAATCTTGAGTGAAGCATGCCAATGGCAGCCGTTAACTGCGTGTCAGATTCAAGTTAACATAAGTGGGTATAATGTTTTTTAATGATTAAAATTGAAGAAAAGTAAGTTTAATTTGAAACAAATCGAAAAGTTTCATACTTTTAAATTGTTTAAGATTTCGAGAGAAATTGTTTAAGATCTTCTTAACTAACATTTTAATTATGAATGTAATATTAATGAACACTTTTCTAGTGTCAGAAATCACAGCTATTTTCTTTTCATTATA